GGGGCAGCGGCCGGAGCGCGCGCTGCCCCCCGCGGGCGGCCCCGGCCCCCGCAGCCCCCGCTCCCGCACGGCCGGTCCGCGCTCCCTCCCGCCTTCCCCCTCTCTCTCCTTCCCTCCCTCCCTTCCTCCCTTTCTCCCGCGCCGTGCGGGGCGCGGCGCGGGCCCCTCTGCCCGCGGCTTTGTGCGTGTCCCGTCCTTGTGAAGAGAAGCAAGCAGCTGCGGCGCTGGGCCGAGTTGTTGAAATTTATCCCTTTGTGTATATTACAATATCCTCCATTTTTCTGCCCTCTAAACAACGAGCCTTTCGCCATCTTGGGCAAATTTTTATTCCAAAGTCTGTCCGTCTCTTTTAGGAAGGAACGAGTAGAAATCTTGAAAGCCCTTTGAATAAGTCTCAAAGTTTAGGAAATGTTACAGGGACAGACAGTGACGTCATGTAAAGTTTAAGGGGATTTTTTTCCAAGACTCTGTGCTTTCCCCCGGCATTCCTGATCTAACGCGTTGTAAACCTCACTTTAAAGAGAAAGGTTCCGAGTTGAGACTGCACGTACAGGGGACATTGTGAATATGCGTCTTTATCTTGTGTCTGGTTTCGTAACAGGGAAATAATCGTGTTTTTGGGTTATTCTCCCCCCCCTTGCCTATTTCTTTTCTTTTCCTGTCCCGGCCTCAGTGTTTAATATGTATTGCTTGTTCGGCTATTTAAGTAAACGTTCTGAAGTTCTTATGTTAAATAACGAACTATCTGGAGATTTTCATTGCTTTTGTTTACGGAAGGTAGTAATCTAATGTGAAGTTTAAGTGAAACACTTGGTACAGGATCTTCCCTGAGAAATAAACAGTATCTCCTTGGTATGAGGAACATGGAAATACATAAGTCCGTTTTTAAATGACAGATTTGGGGGGCATGTGTGGAGGTAACAAACTTATTAACTTATGTTATTAAAAGGTTCCGCCTGGAAAGTACCTATAAATATTGCATGTAGTTTGGGTTATGTTCCAGGTGCCGTGTAACGTGGGTGGCTAAATGTAGTTACTGTGCTAAACTCATTAAAAAACCCAGCCCTACAACAACCCTGCACCCAAAAGCCAACAACAAATTGTATCCTCTATACATTTTGCATCAGCTGTTGTGAAAAGGAAAACAATAAAAAGTACTGTTGTGTTAATTTACTTCTCAATTGCACATTTTTTTTGTCTCAGAAAAGTTTTTCTGGTCACATGATATGACTTAGTGAAATATGGGATGCTTGATAAGGAATAGCTGTTGTAGGTGAAGTTCTGTTTTTCTGTTCTTTCTATGCTTATCTGACTTGCTGCATATTTAAAGTCACACAATCGAGAACATGAAACTGTATTTAATTTGCATTTTCTTTGTCTTCAGGGTTGGGAAAAACATTGACTACAATTAACATAGAAAGTAATAGCAACAGCTGTTTGTACGTCAAGGCTTTTATATCCAAGTCAGCATTGAATGATGTACTTAAAGCATACTTAAGGTTATGTTGGAACAAATGTCAGATATTACTTACTTTATTTTTCTTTCTTAAATGCATTAGAAAGCGTGGTTGGATTCAGTATTTACTAGCTATGTGAATACCGGGTAAATGAAAATGTTTAAATAGTTGAAAGCATGTACAACGGGTGATTCTAAATTACAAATGGAACAAAGGTCTAGAAGATTGGACAGATTGTAAATGATGAGCAACAGCATAAGTAGTTTCAGAAAACGATGCTATAGTTTTGACATCTCATAGAAAACTACACACGTTTTTTGTCAAATTGCTGCAAAATCAATAAACTACATAATATTAAGAAAATTGTAGCCAAGGTAGTTTTTGTAAAGTGTATGTAGAGGAAGCAGTAGGAATTGTTAAGGGATTTTCGGTGTTCAAGAAATTTTATGTTTACTTCAATCAGGGGATATTTGTTTCATCATAGATGGTACCAATTCCTTGTAAGTAATGGAGTATTCATATCATGTTGTGATGGAGTTCATCGTAAACAGAACTCTCTGGAGAATAAAAAATATTTCTTCAGAGAATCAGGTAATGTTACCTTTTCATTCCTGACCCCAGATCTGTTCTAGATAGCACAAAATAAGGTTTTGTGACTATCACATATTGAAAATAAACTGGAATTGTGGTACTGTGTCCTGGTTCCAGCCAGGACAGGGTTAATTTTTACAATAGCCAGGAGGGGGCATGGCCAGGCCCCAGAGGTTATTCTATACCACTTCATGTCATTTTTGGGGGGGGAGAGTGGAAGGGGTGGAAAAGGAGTCTGTTCCTGGGAGAAGGGGTTCCTTCCAGGTCAGAGTAGCTTGGTGGAGTGATTGCGAATTGTTGTTTCCACGTGAATCACTCCTTTCTTGTACCCTCTGTCATTAGTATTGTTGCTGTTACTGTTCATTTTCTTATCTCATTGCTGTTTTCAGTAAATTGCTCTTATTTCGACCTGATCTTTACCAATTCTCCTCTCCATCTTGCAGGGGAGGGGGAGGCGGGGAAGGAGCAAGTGAGCGGCGCAGTTTCAGTCAGAGCACTAAATTGGAGAGTACCATTCCTAAACTACGACACACTGGTATTTCTCATTCAGATTATATTTTTAAACTAAATTCCACTGTGCTGGGTTCCTTACAGGTCAGTGTTCCCACAAAAAGTAGTTGTTTTTGGGATTTGTCCACGTAGATTATTGTAGGTTGTCAATACCACTGTAAAATGTTTTGAGTAGTGTTAGAGGAAAGGTAACTAAATATGTGCTTTGTACCTTTTGATGAGAAATGCTTGGTTTTCTTGAACATGTAATACAATGCTTTGCATTTTCAAAAGATAAGTTAGCAATATTTTTATGTAATAGAGGGAACAAGCATTGCTTGACCACTGCAGTATATGTGTTTAATCCTTATACTGCTAAGAAGAAAGTGCTACAAGACTGAATTTTTTTTTTCTTAATGAAGAACACTGAAAATGCCAATAAGAAAGTAATGGAAGTCTTTCTTTTTAGGTCCTGTTGACCTTTCTTGTGTTTTCTTTGTCTGCATGTTTATTACAGAACTGCAGTGTAAAGGAGCAGATGTTTTGCAAAACATCCTGATGTGTTGCTTTTTCTTGTGGGAGTGCATAACTGTTCCTTCTGATGCATCGACTTGACAGCTGGTTGATTTCATGGAACTGCTAAGAAGCCATTAGTGGTGTCATTGAATTGAAACAGAACAGTGGCTCCCAGCTTGAACTGCAATTGTTAACGTCTTTGTTGCTACTTTTCTCTTCCTATGCAAAATGTGGAATATCATAGTTGCAGATAAAAAGAAGTTTGTGCTCCCTGTCTGATATCCCTGAATGAAGGAAAGGAGGCATTAGTACCTGACTGCTTTTAGTTTTATAATTTTCTTATGATGGCATATTTGGGAATAAGAGATCTTGACTGTTGGGAGGTACAATGAACAATGCAGTTTGCTACTCTCCCCCCCCCCCATTAAGGGCTTCACTGTGTGAATGCTGTGTGTTCAAATTGCTTCACTATGATCGTCTCCCAGGCCCTAATACAGGTATCTTTAAATAAAACTAAATAGTGATGGGGTGCTTTTTTTTTTTAATCAGCGAACTATTCTAATAGATTACATAAGAGTGATACTTAGTGTTTTCATTGCTTAAATAATTTGGCCCAATGCAGATTCCCAAAGTCTACCAGTTTTCTCCCAAGTGTGGTTCAGCATCTTAGTTAATTTTGTTTTACGGCAGTACATTCAGTAAATTATGTCATACCACATTACCAACTAGTTTGTGATTGTTTATTGCCACCAGAAGAAACACTGAAACAGGTATCAAGGACAGCAGTGATTTTTGTGATTGATAGTTTACAACATCCTGAATGTGGACAAAATGTAGTATGTGTTGGTCAATGTATTTTAAAGAAACTGTAAGTTTATGTTGAAGAACATGATGCAGTATTGAGAATTTGGGTACGGATAATCTTCCCTGCTGCATCACAGAAGGAAATGAAACATCCTTTTTGTAACTAACGTCTGTGCTTTAAACATTTTTCTGTTATACTACATTTTTACTTTAAACCTATTTTTGTTGTATTCTTTTTGTGTAATGGTAGAAAGAAAGTGCATCTTTGTTTTAAATGAGTGATAGGCATTTGGAGTTCCTCTGGGTTACTCTTTACAGATGAGAAGCAGAAACAAGGATACTGTATTAGTAAGCTTAAAGTAGATCCTCCCCCACCCTGCTCCCCATTTTTTGCCTGCTTATTTAAAAACAAAAAAAAAGGCAACAAACAAATCAATATGGAGTCACTAGAAGATTAGCGTGAGGAAAATAGTGGGTTCGCTTTAATTTTTGAAATTTGTGTTTCTTATTACTTTTATGGAGGCAAGACTGTGTAAGATTCACTGTTATAGAGATAAGGACTCTGATTCGTGGAAAGGTTTAGTCTTTTACCAACATCACAAGATGATGATAGAGGCAGAAAAAAGAGCTGCCTTCCCCCAGTTTAATCTCTAGTGTGCTGGGTAGTTGTTTCCTTGAAAACGGAAATGCGTGGTTTGTTATTCTGCAGAGTAATGCCAGTGGGGTGGGTAAGCTGAGTGCACATAATCATTAGAAGAAATTGGGACCATGTGTTCATTAAGTTCACTCTGCAGAAGGGCCAGGCTAGATGCAGTATTTCGCTGTTATTTTGCTTCTTAATCGTACAGTTTTAAGTGAAAAAAGGTATGTAGAACATATAATCCAGTTATCACACAATTTCACAGTTAGCTAAGTTCTTGTTTAGTGTTTTAGCTCTTTACTGTCCTAAATTTGCATTATATAATGTCCTTAAAAAGAAAAAAAAACTATACTTTTTTAAGTCTGATACTGCAATTCCTTTAAGATTTAAATGGAAATTAAAATGCCAGAAGACCATTGTAGTAATTTTATGGTATCACTTAGATTTTTGTTTCTTTTTTGAGGGAGGGAGGAGGAATTGTGATTTATTTTGTGATATTAGCATTTCACGAAACCACCAGGTGAAACAAACACTCCTGGAGTGTAAGGAAGTCTTATGCTTGTTTTGTTTTTTTAATGTAACAACCAGGAAAAGAGGATGCAGGGGTTTTCCCTGCTTAGTTTAACAGAATTAATTTATGCATTTGACAGAATTCCTCATACCAGTTTCTTCTCTTTTTATGTGAATGTCTTTCAGTTTTTTGGATAAAAGACAAACATCAAAGAAAAGTATACGTTTTTAAACCTTACCTACTGACAGATGATCTCTTGAACATAGTCTCTGAAAGTACGGACTTAGAAAAAGATGTGCTGGGCTTGTCCGTGTCCAGATGATGCCTGTTGCCTTCAGTGTGGATTTTCTCCCGTTACATTGCTACTCACACCCTTCAGGGCCTCCTGAATGTCTTGTTTTCTGTGTGTAAAGGACATAAGACCTCTTTTCACTTGATGTAGGTCAGGCATTGTAAAGAGCTGAATGGGTTAAGCCTCGGTAGTTTGCAAAAAAGAGATCGCAGAGATTTTTCTAGCCCCTGAGGGAGGAATCACCCAAAACCTTAAAATTCAAATTTCTAAAAATGTAAAGACACCGTCTGAAAAATTGGTTTACTTGATGAACCGTTTACATTAGTAATGGTTCCACTGAAATCAGTGGGACTGCTGAGTATAAAGACTTGTCTGGGTAATGTTTGCAGCATAAAGCCTTGGGAAAGAAGATAGGTTTAGAAATAAGGTAATGACTGTGAAATAATGCTGTCATCTTTTTGGAGCCTCACACAGAACATAGTTCTGTTCTGGAATTGCTGGAAAGAATAATGAAGAATTTTCATTTTTGAATCATTTAAATCACAAATTATCAGTGTGTTCTTGTAAATTGCAGGAAGTGTAAGGTAGATTTTCTTTACAACATTTAACACAGTAATTTAAAGGCACAAAGTAATCTGCCAACCTATTCTTGAGCTTGAATCTCAGTTGTGAGACTACTGGATGAGAAGCTAAAACCTTGAAATCCTCTAAAGAGTATTTTTTCCTTCACTTTTAATGTTTTTGGATTGTGACCCGATTTATTAATCAATTGGTATTAATGTTTTTCTAACACGGAAAGATTCTTTAATAAACAATGCATTGCATTTTACCAGATACTTATTTTAGAAGAGTGGTGTGTAGTTTCCAAGTATAATCATCAAAATAACTCCACAGCCCCCTTCTCAGCCCTCAGTCTTTCTACAACAGAAAATTAGTTTGACAAAAATTATTGCACTGGTCCATCAGATGCAGACGGATGTAATTGTGTGGATTTTGCCCCATTTTCTGTTCTTGCACTTTTCCACAAGCATGCACTCATTAATCAAAGACACTGTACTCCTGCTGAGGGCAGAGAGGTTCATCAACTTGGCAGCCAGTTTGGTGTAAAGAAGACTGTACTGAAGCTCTAAACGTGCTGGGCCATAAATAAATCTGAGGTCTTTGTATGCAAACCCTGGAGGTTAATACTGTATAATTCAGTGTCCTGTCTTTGTTTTTATGATTGATGTTGTTAAGTGTTCGAAGCAAGCCTTCAAGCAGGTCAGGGCAGGCTGGCTGATTGGCTGCAGCAGAAGCGTGGCAGAGGGACTGGGGTGTCTGCTGTGGAGATCACGGTTGTGTTGCCTGAGCTGCTGTAGGAAAGTTCTAGAGATTGACAACCGTTGCTGTGCTAATGGACTTAGTGCATGGAACACCCCTAGTTCAGTACTGTTTGTTCTGAAGTTACTGCTGTTTGTATCCTTAACAGAACTAATGTGTGGAGCAAACAGGAGCAAACAAAAACTACTGGGAATTCCCTGTAGAAATAGTGCTAGGATTTGGCTTTAACGTGAATTGGTTGCTTGTTCATAATTCACGGACACCTGGTTACAGAGCTAGTCGTTTGCCAGCTATTATAAACCATTCTGCTCACACCTGGAGACTGTGCTTGAGGTTTTTTTTTTTTTAATTGATCTGCTTGCATTTGAAATGTGGTCACTGCAGCCATGGAGGCCCTTCATTTTAGCTGTGCTTGCATCACAGGGCAACCTCCATGTTAAATATTTATTTTTAACTAAATGTTGAATAAAACCTTAAATGGTGAGCTTCGAAGAAACCAAGTGTAAGGGTGAGCAGTGACATACATCTTAAACACAAAATCTTGTTATGTAAAGCAGCCTAAAAAAGTGACATCAGCCAAGCTTTGTAGTCCTTTCCTAACATTAGTCGTTCTGAATAAGAAATCCTTGTTAGATTTACCCAGTCTTACCTTGCTTAACACCGTAGTCACTGAAATTTGTGGTTTTCATGCATTGTGTGCCCAATGCATTTGGAGAAAAATGCAGAAGAATAAAATGTGATTGTATTACACAAAATAAAGGTGAAGTAAAATTAGTAATAAACACTACCTTGTTGAGTGTTACATGGAGAAAATAATGGATGTATTAGAAATTACTGTACTCTTATATATACATATAAATTGTAGGCTTACCTATCATTGTAATGTGAAAAGTACATATTTAGAAATATTAGTTAATAATGTATATGAGCTGTGATGTAAAGTTGATTCTTCCCCCTCCTTCCCATTCAGTTTTGCTTTTCCAAATTAGAAATCAAGTGAGGTATTTCCACAAGTTTATACATTTAGTTTGATAACTTTTCTGTATTTTTGTTTGCCCTAGTGATGAGAACTTTTCTAAGGAGAACTATACTTTTAACTTTAAAAATCAGTTTTCCTAGCATCCTTAGTTCCTGTGGGAATAAAAGTGAACCCAGTATGCCCACTCTCCTCACATCTTTTGGTCCTGTATGTTTTAAGTTACTAACTTATAACCTGCCATGTCAATAGAAAGTATTGCTGAGGAAAGTTGTAAATAAATTCTCATTTCATATGTATGGATGCAGGAAAACGGGAAGCCATTAGGGAAGGTTTCTTACTGTGTTTTTCAGTGAGATAAAAATATCAAACATACATGCCTGAAAGAGTCTAGTTTTTCAAGCTATATCACTTGATTTAATAAAAGATATTATCTCTCCCTATAGCTGTGGTCTTTCCTAGGTAGTTACAGCTATTAAAAAGGATAAACCGTAAGACATGCAAACGAGTATTTTTCAGTTGCATCTCTGATCATTTTTCATCCTTACAATTACCTTAAGCAACTCACTGCTTCTTATCAATGTTGATGCAAGAGCAAGATCAGAGGTAATAGCTGAGACTACAGCTGTGTGGTTTAGGAGGAAAGTGAGGCAGAAGAGTGCTCTATAGATTGTTTGGGGCTCCAACCTCTACTACAGTTGTAATGCCAGAAACAATTCCTTTATAGCATGATTGTAGAAGCTTTCAAAGAAGCAAGGAGAATTCCTAGGGTT